GATTAAGTCGTTTAAAAACGTTGAAGCTTGAATTAAATTTTGGAATTCTATATAGTATATATAACGTCTAATTTTTGAATATATAAAAAACAAACTAGTACAGTTGATGTTGACAGAAAAGATCTCACGACAATTTACTACGCTATATATAGTTGCTCGAAACGGCTGGTTTTTGTTGTAATGAAGTGACAGTCAACAGCCGTCCCAAAACTACAGTAACGACCGACCCTTTTAAGCCTAGATCTTTATGTTACCTTGTTTAACCTTATTCCACCGATACAAAGAAGCCGATCGTATCATCAGGATCCTCAGCAATAATATACTCAAATAAATAGTCTCATTAACAAGCAGTGCTCAATTCTTTTTGGAGTTTTTCTGTAAAGGTTATTTAATCTACTTATGTTTTGCTCATTTACAAAAGCTTGTACAAAGAAGGCCATTCTAAGTAGGTGGCATACGCATTCTGCATGATCAGGCTCCCTCCCGCTTACGCTAACCATTAGCGCAAACTATTGTCATTCGGCGGGTAAAGAAGTATTCACCTACTATACTGAATAGAAGTTTTGGTGGATTGGAACATGAAAAACAAGTTATATGATAAAATCGAAAGAAGTATAACTATTTATCATGTTTTATTTCTTTAGCTATCGTCTGGTAACTTCCGGTTTGAATCCTTTCGGCTAGTCATACCACAGATACGCTCCGTGCACACTGACAGGAAGTACGCACAGTTTCCATATGTCACACAATCATAGTTATTCGAGTTGTACGGTAGATGCATCAAAATATCTCATCCAAGTTCCCTTATTGTTTTATAGTTTCTCCCAATTTTTTTTAAATAAACAGAGGTATATGTGGTCACATTATCATGGTGGAAGATGCTTTTTCTGCTTACTACTTCCAGTGGATTTTTCAATGGTTTGTCATAGTCTTGTTAGTTCACAGCAGAGGTCCGAAACTATTTTTTGTTAGGCGGCAGCCACTCATGATACACGACTCTCTTCCAGTCCGACCGAATATGCAGCATCATCCCTTTTGGCGTCTATCTGAGTTTTACCACATATTGTGTGTTTTGCCACATTTTTCCGCACAATGTTACCGTACGTGATACACCCTTTATTACTTGCCACCATCCGCTTTCGAGATGGCTCAATTTTGTTCTAGAGTTTCAATTTTAGAATTTGATTAAGATAATCCTTTTTCGTTAATTCGTGTGACACCCAAACACCGAGCTTTTTTTGCAGTCAGTCAAAACACTTCGGTGGTGGATACTTAGTTCCCTGGCGATGTAATGACCATTGGTGTGTCGGTCTTGCTCCACTTTCACCATGATTTTATCTATTTTTTTCCATAATTGGTTGATTTTTATGAAGAGCACCTTTTACATCGAAATTTCCAGAACAAATACGATGAAACCATCTTTGAAACGTTTCGTCCGATAACGCATTTTCATTATACAAATACATTTCTTTACAAGCTTAGACGACATTTGTGCCTTCTTTTTGTAATGATTATAAAATATAGCTAGCCTTTGCCGAAATTTCACTCATCTTCGATGTCTAGATGAAGACATTTTAGCCTCTACTCAAAATCAACTCAAAAAGTGTTAAATCTCAGCTTTCTATAGACCCAAAACGCGATTCGTATTACATGAGATATATGACTTCAAATCCATCTAGCTGGAAAAACAGTAAATACTTCTTTGATAACCCTATATATGTAATACATACCAAGGTCGGCTGAAATCGGAAATATAATTTCTATAACACTACATACTTTCTGCGTCAGTTTCATTCAATGCTGCTCAGTGGGACCAATAATATATCGTAAGTCGGTCGTGGCACGCTGCTGCCGTGTTCTATGAAATCTATTACTTACGTAATTGAAGATCAAGCGCGTGATGGAGGATGGCACACTTTGTTTGGCCATGGTTTTAGAGATCGTTTTTCATTGCGAGCTGTTGAATGCAATTCTAACATATAAAACCACTAGGAAAATATTACGATTTCGGCTTCGTTTGTCTGATTTGCTTTATTCGCCAAAAGACCTGGTCTAGTGATAAGTCGTCATTTGTGGAAACCACAGTGATTTTCGAACGGAAATCCCTTTCGTTTCCCTTTGGAATAATAGTCATCTTTCTTCCGGTTACATGAGAAAATTTCTTTCTGAAAAATTTTGGCAGCAATGTTGGCAACAAACCTAAAAAGCTTCTTGGATAACAGCCTATCAACTGCATGCCCCACGCCAAGAACCTTACTTTCAAAGATTATACTTTTCAACAAAATGGTCTGCGTGTGCTAGAAGTGATTTCTGACGTCCAAATTCAATTCAAGCGCGATATATTGTTGTCGTGTCTTCGATTCGGGATTCAAACCCCTCACGGGATTTTTTCAAATGTTTCCTTTACAAGCAAGGCTGAACGAGTTGACGCTGTAATGTCGAAATTTGTTAGACTGTTTCTCAATATAGATGGAAGTTTATTTTTATCTTCAATAAGCACACCAAAAACGATAATCTCCGCGGCTTTTTTGAATCACTGATAAATATTGGAAAGAATCAAAGAGGATTTGCTGCTTTATTTCTGAAATAATTTCGGAGCAAACAACTTAATCCTATTGTCTTCAAAAACATCTGTGCGACTTCTGCAACATTTGGTGTAAATCTAGGGTCCTCGTGAGCACGTTATACTTACTTACAATGAATTTCTTCGGTAATGCCCTGACCGACTACCATCGAAAGTCCGGTTTTGAACGGCATCGATTCTGAATTGTTCTTTTTTATTGTGGATTTTTCGCTGTACTGTGCAAGAACCGTTTTTTGCAGCCGCATATGCCTTTGCGATGCTTGACTTGGTGATTTAGGGTTAAAATTTTTATCATTTCGGTGGAAGTGTGCCTCCCGTGAAGACACTGAATAATAGCTTATCGCCCCTCAAATTCAAAAAACGAGGCACGATTTTTCACCATGTCGAGATTGTTGTTTTGTTGGCTTTGTTGTAATACTAAGAGTAACGAATGAACGAAGTGTTCGGTACAATAATTGACCTGCCGTTTTTCTATATATATATATATATATATATATATATATATTACAGTGAGTGGTTTCTGAGGATTTGGAACAGCAGGAGCTCGACAGACCCAGTCAGTACGCGCCAGGAATTTAAAAACAAGCTTGTGGATCATTTCTTGTAAGAAAAAAAACTGAGACGTTTCGAGGAATTTTTCAACTTCATTAAGACACTTGCGAAAACATTTGTGAACTTTGTGCTGGCTAAGCGAGTGTTGATTAATCAAGTGGGGCTAACGTTTGGTTGCGAAAGTGTTTCTAGTCAACTCACGACGGATTCTGAGGTCTATCGTTTTTGTTACCTTTATCATAACAGAATGAATGAACTCAGGCGCGGATTTCATTTATTTAGTTCAAAGATACCGCCTGAAGGAACCTACATCCGGAAGCACTTTGATTTTTAACTTGATAAAAACTTTACGGTGGGTACCAGAGATTCAAGTGCCAGCACGTCAGAATACAGTTCTCCCAAAAACAATTTTGGAGTGACATATTAACACCTACTAAGGATAACACCAACCCCGTGTCGTGTCGGTACCGTCAAACTGTAAGGTCAATATGTGTTAACTTAGAATCCCAGCGGCACCGGAATAACAGCAAATATTGTACGCTTTGTCATTTTAGAGCTTAGGGGTCAATTTCATGCTTACGCAGTAGACCGAGCCGCTGGTGTTTTCAAGCTCCGGCAAGACTCATCTAAACGCCTCTCAGGCTATACGCGAATCGAAAACCAAATAGCTTTTGCCGAATTACACGGAAGAAGTAATTCGGCCTTGAACTAGCAAGCACTTCGCCAACAGAAACATTTTCCCGCTTTGAAAACCATGTAATTAGCCATTAACTATTACGACAAGGTAAGCGTGTATTCTGAAGAGCACAGGTTCCCAGAGTCGAAATATACGACGGTGCCTAACCTGATAATGTATATGCAATTTAGATTTAGGGCACCGCCGATAATTTAGAGGGTTCACGATAGTTCCTCTACGGAGTTTAGTTAAATAAAGTCGCCCTCAACAATAGCTTGGACCGTTCATCCGATCTATGTTAAAGCTCAAGCCTCAACGAATAATCAAGTTACTCCTCAAATAAAACAGTGGCAGTAGTGCGACGTGTAAGGACGATAGCAATCATTGAGTAAAATAAAGTGATATAAATAGTAGTACAATAAATGCGTAGAGCTCAGCAAAGCCAGTCTAGGCCGACAAAAGACAAAGTTACAATAATAGCAATCAACCGAGCAAAATATCTAAATTCAGGCTTTTTCTTATCCGTAGTTTTTCCATAACCTGTGTCTCAACAAAAACAGATATTTGCATGCACCGAAGATGTCATTCATGAGTGTCATACTAATTCAATACAACCATCATTCACCATTAGTGGCAGTTTTATAAAAGATCTAGACGATTTTGAAAAATTTTTAAGCCCTTCAAATCTTAATCTAACCTGTCTCTGAAACCCCTTGGTGGCAAAAACAGTAAACACACACCGGCTCTGACGGAGAGTTTACCAAGGTTCACTACGTTGTCCGAGTTTAAATGCCTTACCCTGTATATTCTTACGTCTAGGCGTGCTCTTTACATAATGATCACTCGTGTTTGAAATCGATCTATATCTGATAGCCTCATGAGCAAATTAAAAAAATATTATTAAAACAAACGATTACTATACACAAACTGAAGATATGCTTTTCTTCTTGTGACCCTCGTATTATTCTAAATATGCAAAATAAATATCTTATTATATTTATTGAACAACTTTGTATAAATGGAATAATTAGAAAAGCAAATATCATAAACAGGAGCTTAAAAGTTCGATCAACCAGGACAGGAAGTCTTTTTAACTTTAAACAATTTACTTAACCTATTCAAAGCATCGCAGACTTTACATCAATTACGTGAAAGCAATTTGAAGTAACTCGTAATAAAGACCCGTGCTTCCGATGCTCACGCATAACATGATTTTCATATTACAGCTTTCCTTATTAACTTGTCAATTATAATATCACACTGCTTTATCTTCATAGTTCAAATATATAGTTCGCACAATAAGTTCTTGTAAGGTATTGCTTTTTCTTGGGTTTGTGTTTATGAAGAATTAAAATTTTCATAAGAAGTTGGAATGATGTCTTTTGTGGCGCCTTGTTACATCGATTCGATTTCCTGGATCGTTCCATACTTGTTGTTGATGTTGGGATAGAGGAGGATCTGTTAGCCGTGCGGTACTGCTCGTGGTACAGTTGCTCGAGGCGGGACGCTCCGATGGTCCCACCTCTTGATAACGTCATCTGGTTCCGCTTCCAATAGCCTCGGTGGTTAATACGCTAGTCGAAGAAGGTGCTGCCATTTGTCGATGAGCAGTCTCAGGTGTTGCTAGAGGTGACCTAGCACCACCCCCAGTGCTACCAGAGTATACACTGACCATTGAGATTGTTGGTGAGGTCGCATGCCATTTTCGAAAGAGTTCACAGAATTTATTGTTAGGAAATAGAGACGCGAGCATTCCTTCCATGAGAACGTACACGAGTCGGCGATTCAATGCTTGTTGCTGGAACATCTCAAAAACGCACAGCATTCCACGGCGTGTGGTGTCACTACCAATGATACGTCTCAGGTCATCTGTAAGTAAAAAATGCTGTTATCGGTAAAGCTTATTACAATAACAATTAAAAGCCGATATTCATTCGTAAACCCAACCAACGTAAGAAAACGATTCTTGTAACTGGTTTTTATGACACACAAAACACCGCATCATTGCTTGTGCAACTCTCAAGCTCAATATCGTCTACGTTTTAGTTTTCTCTAAATACTGTTACCCACCTGTTACACTACACAAAAGCAGCATTTTAGCAGCCACGCGGGTTCTGCTTTTAGTTTCAGGGTCACGTTCTCTACCTTGTTCCGCCGGGATCCCATTAGGCCACAGTGCATTTTTCAGTGTTTTAACATACTCCGCAATTTGGTCTGATGAAGTACGTTCTTCAACCGATTCTACGATCTTTCGGTTTATAGTGTCTCCAAAAGTGGTTTTTACTATCTGTCTCAGAATGACAATTATGCGCCGCCTGTAAAATGCATATTGCAGTAGAGTTAAGTCTACTTCAGTATTAAGTCAACATTTGATACCTTTCATAGCGCTACAGCTGGTTCGATGAAAAATTGCGGTATTTTTTTTACGAATTTGAATATATATAGATATGCGTTACAGGTTGGTTATAATATAAATGGATAATTGTAATACAAGCTGATACTAGCGATTTTATGAAAGACCAGAGTACATCAGCTGGGGATTAGGATTACTTCAAAAGTAATCAAATAATTTATTTTAGCTGAAGTCTTCGGCTCTCTCGTTTCACATTTATATTGTTCAACTTTCAGGTAAACTCATAAGCCCGTGGAAACATTATTGGGTTAATTCGGCCTGCTCCTAGAGCTTTTATGAGGCGGGAGATAAGAGTTTACCAACATGTACAGAAGAGTCGTTACTATCATACAGTTTAATCGAATGGTTTTAAGATAAAAAAATTTAATAAAACACAACTCTGCGGCTAAAAACTTTGCTGTAGCCGCAGAGTTGTGTCCATAAGATGAAAGAACCGTATGACATATGATTTTCAAGTAGTAAAAAGTTATTTTTTTTTGTTGGTTAAAGTAATCAGTTAATTATTCACACGGATTGTGTCGAATTTGTGAAATTGCATATACAGACAAAAGGTACTAACATACGTATAAAGCCAAGAAAACGTACATAATATATATATAAAGCCTTAAAAAGCAATAGATTCGCAGTTTAATTTGTCTTTCAACTTAGTGACCTGATTTGGGTATATACATTAGGATGAAACTTGTCGCTTTTGATATCCCTGAAGCCCACGTACCAGATGATGGGTTTACGAACTGCAAATCTTAGTATAATATTGGTTCTATCTGGGTGCTTCCGGTTTCTATAAGTCGCTTCGAGCATCAAGGAAAACGACGGGTTCTTGACCCGCAATTAACACGCTATACACTTCAGCACCTGGAAGACAAAAGACCTTCCAAAGCTCTTCGAAAAACATTAAAGTCTCTGCCAAAAGATATGCGAGGATGCTATGAGCCGACACATACAGGCCTAACTCTAATTTAGGAACATTATCTTCACCAAGATAACTGTCCAATGTTATCAGATCTTGTAGGCTCACTTTTTTCTCAAATAATCGGAATTCTATAAATTACAGGTGCAAACTTTAGACTGAACAATTTACAAGCCGTTGTCAGGGATGGTTTCTGAGGGCTTCGATTTTAGTAATCGGAATCGTTGTTTTTATCTGATATGATCTACGAGAAACTCTTCTGTTGTGGTCATTATGAGGCCTGAATACATAAACTTACTTATGAAATTACTGTATATAGGAATTTCTACCTTTCTAAGCATCACGTTTTTCGCCTTTATCTTTTTTAAAAACAAATTTTTAAACAAGAGTTACTAAAGGTTGCAAACGCCTGCTGCAGGTAAATTTCGCTTGTACTATACATTACTAGGTCAGTAGCGTAGCTAATTATCTTTATGGGTTAATATCTTTCGTGGATGCTAATGACCATCGAAGAAAGGCAGTGGACTCCTTGTCCTTTTTGACGAACCGTGCCATCTGCTCGATACTGCTTCTTTCTGTGACACTATTGTCTATTATTATAAGGTCTTTTATTTGGAAGACTTTTAACAAGTTCACGGTTAGTTGCTCCTCCTTATTATGCAAGCATAGTCGGATCTTAATTCCAAATCAAACGCTGCTTGACACGAATACTGAACAGGGAAACTAGCGATAGTAGCTTAGAATATACTCTATTGTTTCCATATGTGTTAATGCAGAAATCTACCGCGATCAGTGTCCGTGACTGAGGTTCGGTGAATGTCTCTCTTTACTGTAGGGATTACGACTATTGTGCACTGTTTCCAATATCCAGGGACATATATTCTTTCATGCGTCCAGCAGGGACTGATAAGCTTTTCGATCAGGCAGCTTGCAGACGATTTTTATTATTTCAAATACTGTGACTTGCAAATCCGAATCAATCTATTAGTTACTATCAATCTATTACTATCTGTTTGTGATCGTATTGTTCACGTGCAGGGTTTCCAAAAATAAACCTATACGACATCTGGCTTGACTGGACAGCTTGTTCTCAATTTAGACGGTTCTTGAGAGTTTGGGTGGCTTCTTCCGACAGTGAGTTCATGTTCTTCCTTGAAATTCGATTTCGCGAACTTTGTGTTTTATTGCAAAGTCTTTTGTCTTGAAAACCATTAATCCGCGGTAAGGGATCTTTCTGAGCTCTAACACTTAACGTGGGGTACGTGTCGCCTGTATGCATTCAGGATTCCAGCACGATCTAGCTGATAAAGCTCGTTTAGGAATTACTCGTCTCGTAAGAATCGAGCTAAGGAAATTATTACATGATCTTACATTTTGATTTTACGTTAAAATTAAGCTGACTGCTTTTTGAAGCTTGCTGGCATTTAACTCTGAGGGGAATCTGACAGAGCATTTGGAAAGCTTCTATACCGAAAGAAACGCGTAATGTCAGCACAATATGGATATTTTCTACATGGGTATCGCACTTCATTCTTCTTCGTACTCGCTAAAAATAAGTCTGGCTTTCCCGCATGTCTTATACATGTGAAGTTTTTACGGCTGTGAGGTGACAATGCACTCTTTTTAGTTTTTTACTTTTGGAGAGAAAATTGGCACAGGCTGGTGGTTAGGTTAGGTCATTTATGAGCTTTAGTAGTTATCAAGCGCGTGGTTCACTTTTTTTTTTTATAAAAGAAGTTGAGCTTAACGATCAACCGCGTCGATTATAAAGGCGCTTGTGGATGGTCAAGTGAGAAACATTCTCGACGTAAACAAACCTGTCAAATCCCTCTGTATACAGAAGAATACGTCAAATACTCGGACTGTGGATGCCCCATGAGCTACTGTTATTTATCTGAGAGCAGCACGAACGGTCAGCTTCTAAAAAATAAAGTAAATCAGCCTTTACGTTTAGGATCGTAACTGAATATGCAAGATGGATATTTCATTTCAAAACGGCTAAATAACTTGCGAGTTTCTCCAAGCGAGTCGCAGCGCTGACTCTTACACCAAAAAATTATGTTGGGGATTAGATGCCACTGGATAAGTACGACTTTATTTAAGCTACCTAAATAAGCGCAAAGCGCAAAATTATTGCCGTTGAAAAAACTGAAAATCTGGGTTATTCAAACTATTTTTACTCAAAAAGTGATATTATTGATAAACAAATTAGAAAGGATTACCCATCGGGATAGGACTTTATCGGATTGGTTTGGTACATCTCCAAAATTCGACTGTAGCTGAAATGTTCCGTTTGATCTATCATCCATTCCAATCTTGACAAGGTAAATTTTCTATTTCACCTGTTTCGTTGCTTCCTGAATGCACCATGAAAAAAATATACGTTCCTTTGGATAGTGTAGGTACGCTTACAGGTTGCGATTGCGGCTTTTTCTTGGGAGCAAGTTATTATAAACGTGAAAAGACACTGAGCAAAGACGACCGAAAATAATAAACTATACATCACTCGACAATTGCTCTTTAATAAAAAATTGTGCTTTTAGCAAAAATTTGCGAAAAATCTACACAAGTTTATTATCATCATTTCAAGCAGTAGCAGTCTAACTATAATGTGTAACCCTGCGTAAGCTGCTCAGCTTACACTGTCGTGGTTTTAGCATAGATTACAGATGCACGAACAGGCACGATTCGCTCAGGTACAGATAAAATGAGAGATGGAAAGCCTTCGGTGGTTTCGTGCATGCTACCGTAAGCTTTTTGCTTAAAGGGGTATCATTATATCGACGTTAGTAAAGTGGGTTGGATATTGTGTGCGTGCTACAAGGCCGCTGCTTTGAGGTCAATAAAGAAATGTAAAGATTAACACGTGATAAACACTCCGCAAGGGTAAATCTAGTCCATCTGCATTTGCCGGACGCCAAGCGACATTGTTTGTAAGACTATATCTAAGTAAAAACAGATACTTCAACCGATTTGTTTCCATGTGCTAGGAGTGTCATTCCTAAAGATCATGTTTAGTCAATAAAAGCACCATTGAAAATGACTGCATCTTCAGTTCAAAACTTGAACCTCTCTTAGCCCTTTTATGCCTCCATAAATATTATTTTTGCAAATATGTGAATGCCTTTTGGATAGAACCAGGTGAACAAATCGACGTTGTAATGCCAAAACTTGTTAGACTGTCGCTCAACAATGTTTCATATATAGTAACCCAACAGTTCTAATATGAGCTGTTCGATGGCCATACGCGCTTTCTCTGGTCAGAATATATACTCCAGTCCTGTATTAACCGGCTAGTAGCAGCCGGTCAAATACACTGTCGATTTGAGACCCCTCACGAGACTTACTATCTCGTTTGTGCTTCGTCCAGCGTGAAAAGACTGGATAATAGCTGACGCATTGTTTTTCGTTTCGTTTCGATCAGGCAAAACAGGTTTTCTTCTATTGTCAAGGGTACTGGATGAACTGAGTCCGCTACCACTGACAGCCTGTTCATATTAGATGAGCCAGTCTAATGTATGAGTTAAACATTGACCAGAGATTTCGGCATAAAGTTAAAAGAACAAACGATACGACTTTTTCAGCAGACACAGCTGTGTTTCATTGGCTCTGACCTCTCTGCTTAAGTTCAGCGGAGGATGGTAATGAGAGAAACATGGGACACAGGAATCTCATTCGGCGAGAACCTTTTGGTAGCTTGTAACAAGAATACTCTGGTTTGCTAGATTGTTAATCTACGAAAAGGTATTAGAAGGGTTTGAATTAGGAAGGATTTAGTTCCGCGATGTAGCTCAACACGTAGGATTCGAGAATTCGTAAACTGTGCGCCCTGATATCTGTACGTCAAATTCCGGCTTTGAAATAGGACTATCAGCGTGCCCGAGACTGCATGCACTAAACGCGCTGAAGACATCTGGAGCATTATAATAGAGCTCTCTCAACTATAAAAAGATTTACTGTTCAAGATACGGGACGACTATTTTAGGTCGAATGTTGTAAAGAGCGACAAAAAACTGTTGTGGACGTGATTTTATGAGCTTGGAGAAGGCAGGAAATGTCTTACAGCCGGCGAGCTAACAGAAATTAGTAAAAAAAAACTCGTAACGCGAACAAACGGAGCCTGGTCAAAGGAATGTTTCTGTGTATGAAAGAGTACAGCTTGTCTAAATTTATTTCCACAGTCATTTAAAAAAAAATCGCTGTTTTTGTGCCTCAAGGTGACTCTCCAGAGAAAAAATTAGCAACTAGGATTAAGTTTAAACCATATGGAATAATTGGCAATACCAAGTGCTATAGTGGCAGGGAAACATGAAGATAGCAAATCGGCAGTCCGGTATAAATCGACTTTTACAATAAATCGATATATAATCTTAGAATTGCGTTTTCGGCATGGAACGGCTTGATTTTGGCGGCTCTTCAGAACCCTTCCCACGTCATGTCTACGTGAGCCGCCTTTTTTGCCGATAAGACAACCCGCAGCCCTATTGTTGTTGAAGATACAGAGACTGTGAAATTGACATCAGTGGATAACGCTGAACTGCTGTTCTGACGTGTGTCTCCTAATTATTTCAGTGTACCTCTTAAGCTTTTGAGTGAAGAAATACCCTTCAGAATAAAACTTCACGTGCTGTGGAGAACAAAATTGGGATTCCTGTGAGAAGAGCTGGACAAGCTCTAGATAAATCCAAGTTGGCTGCCTGCGTTTGGAAACTCTTGTTATATTGATCAATCCGAATTGATTATGATATATACGCATACTGGTCTCTGCCAAAAGTAAATGAGATCACATCAGGCATCCAAAAGAGCTTATAACTCTCTGCAGTCTATATTTTTTATATATTTAATATATGACAAAAAATTATAAAGAAAACGAAGCAATGTTCAGCGATTTTTATATCCTATGGGATCTTCTAATGCAATGTGAACAACGTGAGTTCTTTTGTTTATAAAAACTAGGCTATGTACTTCGAAAGGATAATAGATGAGCTGTTCGAAAACATTTAGCTTCTTGTAGTTATTACGTTGACGATTTTCAGGTATTTCCGAAATAAGAACGGAAATAGTGGTAATAGATTAAAGCCATAATAAATAGAATGGAAACATGCGAGTACAAAATTAACGCAAGAAACGAGCTTAGGTTTGTTTCAGGGCCAAATTATTTTGCCACGTTTGACCTGTTGAAGATTATACCACGTATGCTAACAAGCAGTCTGAGCAAAGAAGTAGATACCTTTATTATGCAGGAAGAAGAAGAAGGTACTTACAGAAACTAGCATTACGATTTTAAAAGGATAAGAAGATTCACAGCCGCGTGCTCATATTTCTGGATGCGATTCTTTAAATCTTTCTTGCCATGACCCAGGCTCCTATATTAATAAACAATTTCTTGCATCTGCGGTTAAAACTTAGAGTGTAGAGATCTTATTAGAGAAACGAAGATTTCGCTTCTTATATTACCTGATTTTGTGTTAGGAAAAATGCTCCATTATGTTAGCTTTCTGTAAAAGATATAATGTATGAATATTTTGACATTGAAGGAGAAAATTTTTGTTAGGTCCCTTGTTGAATGTCAAAATATTTATGGAAGGCACATGATATGCCTTTTTGGAGAATAATTCAAGAAAAATCTAAAAGATTTCTCAACATCTTTAGACAAATGTATCTTGCTTCAAATAAGAAAGAACAATACATCATACGATTAATGATTTATACGGTCTTGTGCATACATCTGCTCCTTTTACTTCAAAACAACGAAAAATTGTGTTCAGTAAAACAGGTATTTTAGCCAACGAGTATACGAGGTAAGTGAAGACCGGCAGTAATGTAGACATTTAAATGTTTAGTAATGGCAGTTTTCACAACATTCCAAGGCGCCACATTTAAGGACCAGCATTTGTGGATTGAAAGTACGATTCTCGTTCTAGCACACACTAAGAATACCACCTGCAGCCGTCTGAAGCTGTTTTCTGCAGGCCAGGTGATTCAACAGAACAGTATATTTTCAGGTCGTTAGTGTACTCGGGAAATTTAATTTCAGCAGACATATGTTTGTTCAGGTCCAGATCAAAGATGAGGTTAAAAAGGAGGAGATAGAAAAATAAAAAAAGTCCAGGGTCGACAGAGAACCTGTCAAACATATAAAGGTACACCTTGACACGTTATGTCTTTGTCTAAAGTAGGCCTAAATCAAGGTTATGTCCGTATGTGAAACCGTAAATAGGCCCGTGGGTCGAAGACTTCACTAGGGTCGGTAATTTATTAACACGAATGCCACAAAAGGCTTTGTGTGCAATATCGAGGAACAGGCGTCTTATCAGGTGGTAAAAGGTACGATTGTTCCTGACCCATTTAAACCTATCATAAAACATACGGTTGTGTTATATTAACTGATGCAAAAGATGAGAAACTTATCCTTTAGGCTCGATCTGGATGACAAGATTTTGCCCCTCGGCGGACCAACGGAATTCATTTCAAGAGAACACGACAGAATCGAACAGTAGCCCGTTTGTTGCAAGTGTATAGAAATTTCAGAAAACTATGTATAGACTTCGCTAAATAAATTTTAGTGCGCGCACCAGGGCTGATGAAATTCCAGAGATGATTAAATTGATTTTGATTTCATATCCGCTCAGTAAGGCACGCTACAGAGTTCGATGCGTGGTAGTTCCCTCTCCTGCCCAAAACAGGTTCTCTCATTCTGCATCACCCTTGTATGGTTCGTTATTTTAGAGTAACCTACGTCTCAAATAATAGTGCACTAGCTTAAAACCAGTTTGCATCTATCTTATCTTTGCTCAACATAGAATTTTAATCAGTTTCTGTCCTTTTTGGCAACCAGCATTCCCACTAACGTTGACAAATAACAAAGGCACCAAAGCTAGAAGTTCTCAATAACACCTCAAGCATATTGGTCGTTACAAGCATCGCCTTTCCTTCCGTAACTGCAGTTTTTCTGCGCAATTGAAGTTAGTTAGGTTATTCGTAGTATAGTCTCGTCGATGTGCGAAACAATGTTTTTACGGCCTGTTGATTGGTCATCAAATACGAAAAAAAAAACGAAGTTTTGTTTCTGTCGGCACATTCTATAGGACACCATCAAATATTATATCGAAATTGCGCTTGTAGGTCCGTATTAACCACCTCGTCTTAAACCAATCGAAAAAGTAGTCTATTTTCAGAAAATCTAAAAATACTTGCAAAAGCAGTGGTCAAGATATAAGTAATCACTTGGAGCCTTCAGCTTGGCAAGAAGAAGCTACTAATCCCAGTAGCGATAATAGATGCTAGAATTAGCGTTGTTTAAACAATGAAATAGCAGAAAGCGAATGCTTCAACATAAATCCACGGGACTATTGCTAGAACACATATCTGGGACAAACAGCGGTCTCGCCCTTTTTGTTTACATAAATTATTTCTGACTTGTCGCAGCGCACGGTGCGATCAGATTGGCTTTTGCAAACCTCACGTGTACGATATGAGCTTCCTTAAAATTTCTATTTTAAATCTTTTTTTAAGCAAATACATTTATCAGACACGGAAAAAGAACCTCGATTCGAAAAACAACACAAGACATCGCAAAAAGGACCTATTTTTTAAAATTATATAGTATCAATATTGAGCAATTTTGACCTGAGCCAAGTGTTTCGCGCCTTGAGGTCAAATACTTCATCCATGAGTAAGAGCAGGATCCGGAACGGAATATTGTCATCCGCGTCGACATCAATGCCCGCACCAACCTACAGCCAGATGAGATAAACGCAGAATCAGAACGCTGAAATCGGCTTACTGAACGAGACGTGTAATATGAGCAACGAGTATTTTCAATACAAAAATTATTTTTATTTACAATACTTAATAAAATATAAGTTTGGATAAGAGATCATTTAAAGTACAATGTACTTTAAAGTTCTACAGCATTTCTCTTTAACATCTAGTACTAATAAATAGCTTCTCGTTACCTCCAATGCTTTAGTAAGGCCTCGTTAAGTAAGGTCTCGTTACCTCCAAGGCTTTATTAGAGAATTATTGATTAAGGTCTTACAAAATATCTCAAAAATGTAAGACGGCCTCGGCGACGGACTCCCCAGCATAATTATGCCTCTTAAAGTATATCGAACGCTGGGACAAAGCTTGAGAAGCACAGCAGCTGATTCCCAACTATCTTTAACGGACTGTCTGCTAGTTAGCCAATAAGAAATCAAATGCCGTTTTTTTCTTAATTAAAAAGGTCAAGGAAAATATATTCGTATCGAAGATAATAATTCATGATTAATTATTATTATCGCGACTAACGCAGAAATAGGCGTGCCTATCAATAAAGTATCCATTAAACATCTTTTGTAATACGAATGGATAATGTACTGTTTATCATCTCCGTTCTCTTTCCTGTCAATTTCGAAAATACGGTCTGGCTACTTATTAGATGAAGCATTAAAATACTTTTAATTTAATAATTTAGAATTTATTTTATTCTCATCCACTCCGCATTATAGGGGATTCTAAAAGACCAGATTTATTCCATATTCCGTTCGACAACTCGCTTAATAGATATACGTTTAAGTTACTAATATGTTTTGTGAAGTCACACTATACACGCTACGTTCGTTCTATTGTTTTTAATCAATATTGAACATTGGTAAAAGGCATTATCCAATTAGTGGGTCTACTGTAAGTACCTACCCCATCTACATATGTTTTGTTAGTGTAGCAGCTAGCTTGCACTCAGCCCCCACACCTTTTTACAATTCTGCTGCGGAGGCCACCTTACGAATTGTCGACCACACGTATATTTCTCATTCTCGAGTGCGTAACTTTTGAACTGTGTAATAAGTAGCTGTCAACTCGTCTCTGTGAGGACATCACAGTATTTTGAGGCTTTAAGGTGGTTATTCATAACAGTAACTTGATCTAGCTCGATTAAGCGCCTCACCTTAGAACTATCTTCAAGCTGCTCCGCTGCCCTAGATCGCATAACCCTGCCAAGTCCGTCTTTCAATCCGTCAAAAATGTTCTCGGGAACATTTTTCACCATCGAACCGACGCTTTTCACCGAACTTCTTAGCGGATTCACGATCACGCCCATTCCTCGTTTGCCTATTGTATTAATTGTATAATTACCTGAGTGTAGTCGATAATTAAAAACCAATTGGCATAACTTAATTTACATTGATAACATGTGCAGTTACTGTCTAAACACATTTTGCACACTATGATCTAAACATTCAACAAGTAAAAAAACAAGAAAGAAAGGCCTTTCTTATAAAAAAAAATACTCTATGAAAAGCTCAAACTTGGATTTTTTATTACAAAAACAGAATTTTCGAACTTTTTCTTTTATCGAACGGCGTAACGCTAATAACGATTATCTTGTTTAATCTCTTTAAAATTCTCATTCCTTTAACACCATAATTTCGAAACAAATCACATATTACTTCTATTGGACTCTGTATGCTGCTTGCCACACAATTAGTACTTCCTCTCTGAGCTTCAACGGAGCCGAAACTTCTGATAAAGGCCCGGAACACTTATGACAACTTATGATATTCTTAAATTTTGTATAATTAGATCCTAATAAAAAATAAAGCAAGTTGTGAACGCAGATGTGAAATAAAACGCGAAATACGTCGGAAGATATACTCTCTTGCTCTAAAGTAGCTGGAATTGTCGTTTCAATTAGAATTTTTTAAATGGACATTCTTACGCGCGTGGCATTTCAACGCGACCTAGCTTCGGAAGGCTGTACAAACACTTCGTGGTAAACTGGATGTTGGAAAGGGCGTGCTTCGTTTGCTAATAGTTGATTAAAATTGGCGTGTAAATGACATTTGAAGCAAACGCTCAGGATCTAACAGGAGAAATCTGGAACACCTCGGAGCCAAAGTGTAACCGTTGGGAAAAGAATATACTGATGACTATATTCCTGAGGACAAGCAATAACAAACTACAATGCGCTCGACAAGAGTTATCTCGTTTAGAAGAGATATGACAGTGGTTTTTTGTGGGATAGTTTATTACTAAATTTCTGGAATGTATAATAGCGAACATTATTTAACCAATGTAGGTCACTTGGAAGACCTCATAGGGTACATATATATACAGACTTGTTTGAGCAAATAAATTTAGTTCTACTAGCGTGATTATTTACCTCATTATGGCCGAAATTTTTTTAATCACTTATAGTGTTCGGTAACTATACCTTTTGACGACCTGCAATTAAAAAAAATTCTAATTCATTCCCAAAAATTGAAGGTAAGTGCGGGAAAATCACATGAGCTAAATTTTAATAAGCAATCTAGCAATAAAGTACAGATAACACACTTTAAACTGCAGAAACGAGCTCGTTAAGAACCACGTAAAAAACGTCCAAATTGGCCTCGTAAAAAGGTGTTTTCATTTTCACCACTCTTGTTTACTAAATAACATAGAAAGCATGGGTGACATTCCTTTAGAAGATAGCGTTACAAATCTGCCACAATACCGAGTGGTGGTCGGAAATTATAGACAATACATGATTCGATGGATGCTCTGGGAAAATCTGAGAGATAGTTATTTGAGATAACTGAAAGGGCTGGACTATATCTATGCTCTTACAGCAACACTCACGAAATAGGGAAATTTAAAGACTTAATTTGTGAAAACACCCAGTTTCACATTTCAGTTTCACCTTATTGAGAGTGCTTCTGGACTTGAGTCAGTCAGTATATTAGATACTTCCAGCAAATCGTTTACTCGATTTTCAAAATGAACATCTTACATTTTACGTGCGCAGGACATCCTAAAGATAAGAATTTCCTAACTTTTAAACGTGTATGCAGAAAAATTGCTTTGAGTCTTGGGTCTATTATTGCCGTTAAACATTGCTTCACACGGTAGGTTGTCACCAATCACTTAAATTAGTTTTATAGAACTTTTATTCTCTCACACAGTCCTAGTGTGATCCTAGTAAAGATAATCGGTAATTAATAATAGTAATAACAGTAAAAAGGCTAAATCTCTAAACCTTATGCAAGTTCTAAATAGGCAACAATCTGACTTGATAAATCTCGGCTATTCATTTCTATTCTTTCATATCCAATTATTAAACCTTTCTTCCATCTTTTTTCTTCTTTCATATCATTATTAGTCATGTTTGGTTTAATTTTTTCGCAAGGGTGCGGCTTGAAATGCCTTTGACTTCTCCAACGCTAGTCTCAGGCCTTGGTATTCGACTTTGGGGTTTGTGAAGATCATTTGGGCTTAGGTTCTTGAACAAGAACGAACAACCATAAACGAATCTTGTACTTGTAGCATTTACCATTTCATTAAGTAGAAGCTTACTTTTAGATAATTTTCCCATCTCCTAACGATGGGAGCAATTGAAAGTGTTATTCCAAGAAAAGTTTCTTTTACTTTTTATACTTTCATCGGCACGCCATTAGCAAGCTATATGCGGCAACCAGATATTTAAGAGAAGTTGTTCCTTTTTCCATATAATTTTTGTGACTATCCAGTAAATCAGCATAAAGGCAGCATCCAGAAGAGGCATGAAGTATTCGGTTAAAGTCTCGCGCTGTATAAAAAGTATGATCTGGTTTTATCAAATTTGCAGATGTGAAGTCGATCAATATCGTCCTTTCTCAGTTGATTCCTTGATTTTTAACATTGATAGGTAAAGGAAGTTTGGCATAAAATATAATTCAATACACTTTGGTCAGTTTTTGCTTCTGAGCTTACGCAGTACTTAAAAACAAACTCACTTTTTTTAACAGTGTGTTCGTATCTCCCTGGCTCAAGAAATTGTTCCACGAGCTTGGCCATTTCCAAGTTATCCTTATTGTTCAGAATAGTAGGTTGAAGTACGCTCTGCAGATACATGTTTAATTGAGTTTTGCGCTGCTCCAAGAAAGCTGTTGACATATTGTTGAACGTTTTTTTGCCAGGGAATGGAGTCGTCAGTACATGAGGAAACTATTTTCATTCCAAAAAAGAAAAACGCGGATATTATGATATGGTATATTTGGTACTGCCTTTCGATTCCGAATGAGCAAATCGAAAACCGGATACTACGCATTCGAAAAATTGGCGCTTACAAATGCGTAGAGGGCGAAACACGTTTTTTAATTTAATAACTCGTGACGCATAGTGTGTA